ACGGGCACCAAACAGAGAATAGTTTAATCTTTTTTTTCAAGTTCTCAGTATGAGTTGTTTTTAGTACTTCCTAGTAAAATAATTACGAAGTTGCCTTTATTACGCGATCAAATTGCTAGGTGCCTTCTGCTTTTTTCATTTTTAGAAGTTAGTCTGTAAGACTGGAGTTAAGAGCATTAATGCAACCTAAGTATCAAATATTACAATTAGAAGAACCTCATAAATTAATGATCTACATTCTACTGCATGTTTGACAAGGTGCAGTGGACAACATTAATCTTTTTTTGTAGTATTATTTAATCACTTTGTCTTGTCCAGTCATGTGTTTAACATCCCATAATACAATGCATTGGGATGGGAAAGGACCTGGAATACTCTTTTCCTGACTGCCCCCACCAACGGGCATGTCCCTCGAACATTCACACATGAATCAATTCCCTTTAAGCATTGAAAATTTTGACGATGAAAATTAATGTCTTATACTAAAAAATCTTGTATCTTGTATGGATGTAAAATTTTCTGTATGAAAAAAGTTTGGATAGCTAATCCTATCGGACCATATCTGCCAGATGGATTGTGTGTGGATCTGGTTTTCTTTTGTCCACTTTAAAATCTTTCATCATCTTCTAATGAGCTTGTTGTATGTGTTTTACAGGGAGACAAACTGGAGATTCTCATTTTGAATGCTAGTGGTATACGTGTGGAGTACATGGAACTCAGGAAAGATTGAATCTTCTCCCCTGTTTCTTTGCTGCTGCTCTTGCTGAAACGGGAGCTTGATGCTCGGCATGGCTGTTGAGGGTAATTGCCAGATAATTCTTGTGTTCTCATGCCACATTACTTATTTAACTCCTGGAGTCGCATTCTGCATCTTTTATTGGAAAATGTTGTCATGATGACTTCTTAATGGAAACTTACATTTCTTTATTTGAACCATGTCGTAGCTTGTTTTATATCTTTGATCAGTTTTAAATGGAGTGACTGTGTTGAATGGCATTCCGAAAGTATCCAAAAAACGTGTTTATCTTGAAAATCGAATATTCACTTGGCATCCAGATTAAAATATAAGATATACAGAACATTAAAATGTGGGAACACTTTTTATCTTGATTGTGATTCTGCTCTTGCATCTAACCAGTGTGTGTTTTCTGATTCCCATCCCTTCTTCTCTAGTTATAATCTTAGTGCCTGTTTCAGATCAAGAAGATTATGTTACGTTGTTATTGAGATATATTATTATTATTATATGGTATTTTGTTAGGTGAAAAAAACAATAATATTCATCATGTAGCTTTTACTTTGATTCGCTATCTGTTGATATCAAAGTCGAAATTCCCCAAAAGTGATGCTGAACAATACTGTATGATTGATTTCTTGCCCTGTGGAAATCAAAATTCAACATCATCCATGAACTGAAATGAGAAAAAGAAAGATCATTGAGTCTGGTGTAAATATAATGTTTAGAATGTTCGAAACCATAAGAATAATACAAATTTGCTGCACCTATCCCCAAGATTGGGCTCTCATATTCAACGCGAACATTATGGTCTGCTAGGCAGTTCTTGATAGAGGTGGTTCTTGATAAAGTTACTATTGATCATTTTGTGTGTCAGATTGAGAGACCATTCACTGAGTCTGAGTTGCATATTTATAGAGAAGGTAATAGTCCGGTTGACTAGCTTCCAATTGAAAGAATGCGTATAATGGGTTATGGGGAATTTCGGGAAAATGCCATCCCTTGTGAAATGAAAAGCATTGTACTACTGGAAGCGCATGATCTATTTTTTGTGTGAGGTTTAACTCACTGAATGGTATGCAATATTGGTTTTTATGTTTCTGTTTTCATTATCTTAAACTCATTTCATTGTAATGGAAGTGTTACTTCCATCTTTATTGTTTTTCGAATTGTTTTTTTTCCCCTTCAATTCGATGCATATATATTCTGGAGCTAAGATATTACATTTTCCTTTCGCTTGTGCTTAGTTGATTTATCAATAAAACAAAATCGCTGAATCTAAACCCTGCGTTGGGTCTTCTAGTTGGTGGCATTACAACCCTGTTTAGGCTCTAACGATATTTCCATTGAAATTAAAAATAATATTAATAAGGTTTTCATATTTTTTAGGGATGATTGATGTCTCAAACCTTTCAAATTGTTGCAAATTTTACCCTAACATTTAATTTGTTGCACTCGTGGTCCCAATTCTTTCTAGTGCATGCTATTGGAGGATAAATAGATGGAATTCATCAATTTCTTTGTTGTTCAGAAAATCGAGTTTGACCACATTTTTAACAATTTCATAGATGGCAAAATTGTAACTTTCTATTTATACATTAAACAATTAGAATTATTAAATAAAAAACCAAAAAGAAATAAAAGAAAAGATTAGTTTCTTTACCCACCCTGGACCTCAACCCCAAACCACCACTCCAAACCAAAACCAAAATCACCTCGTCACCGCCGTCTCCACAACAAACCTAGGTACCAACCGCGGAAACAATTTCCTCCACCTTTCACACGCCTCCCCACCACCTAAAACAATTGACGTTTACTTGTTCAAAGTTCTGAAAATTATAAACAAGGCTTTGCGAGTTGGCAATCAAGAAGGAATAGCATGATAGGGCATCTCCAACGGAGATCCCGAAACTTGCTATCGATCAAAAAATTGAAATATTTTCCGTAACTATCCATCAGAGTGAAGAGGGCTAAAAATTCACATAGTCGAAATTGAAAATGAATTGTCACCAATAGTGGTGTTTCTGCACAGATTTCTTGAAATACGGTACTCTTGGCGCCACTAGATGATAGTAGTTGCCAAAGCTGGTTTTAGAGCAATTGCACCGGATTAAACAATGCATCAAATAATAAATTGTTACATGTATACCACGTAGAATGGTTACCAGTAGTCTTCACCATGAATAATATTATTCATTTAGTAAGTCGTACGAATTTCATAGTACAATTAAATTTATTTATGAATCTGTCCAGCTAGCCTTTAATTTTGCTATAGATGTACTAGTATTATACATGTATATTTGGACCTAACTATCTGCAATTCCTCATTTTATTTGTACATTTATGACTCATTTTCGGATACAAGTACTGCATAAATGATCAATGTACTTGAATTTTAGGTAGGTAGCCGGCGAGAATTTGATTATATGTTAAATCCATACCCCATCGTTCTGGTAACAAGTTGATCGCCGACCTTAGAAGCGGCAAATAGGCTTCTAGTAGTTGAATTAGCATTCTTTAGGGATGCAAGCTATTTAAATCTTCGTCAACTCGTTACATAATATTTATATGTTGAATCTTTCGAATCAAAGTTTTTCTTCCCAACTTGGACGTTGGACAGTGCTAAAAGAATTAAAGTAATATATACTTTCACGAGGTCTGCAAGACATTTTAACTCAACGTTTGGTAAATATTGAGAAATGTTCGGAAAAGATTAGCAGACCTTTGATTTCCTAGGACCATGCAAGAATTCGTTGTCCGCTCTCTTTCAATAGATTTATTTTCAGTTTTTATAAATCGACGGAAATGAATAGTGAATAAGTTTGGTATTATTTGTGGATCCCTCGAAACATGAGCCAAACATAGGCTTAACGGTAAAGATATACTCTTAACTACTATTATGAGAAATTTGATACATTATGGTAAAAAATAAATGTGATTTTTCCATCATATTTTGATTTTATTTGTACATCTGTGACTCATTTTCAACATATGTATGGTATAAATGATCCATGTACTTGATTTTTAGGTAGAGATCATACAAAGTACCATTACGTAAACAACGGCAAGACATTAAGTGAACGTAATTCTCAAATAAATATAATACAATTGTCAACTATTGTTACATTATACATGTAAAGGGAAAATTCACTATTGCTCTATAACTTATTGTTCCGGTAACTAGTCGATCGATACAGAATATCTATAATTGAAAAGAGAAGAACTTTTGAACCACTAGCAATCCTGTAGAACTCAGAAATGGGAACAACCGGAAGAACCATGAAAGATTCTGATGGGAGGACAACGGCGTGGTATCGGTCAAAGACTCTTCGACAGTCAAGTCAGTGACTGATTTAGAGAGAGATTTATTACTAAGGAACGGTGTTGACCTCATAAGGTCTGCACATTGTTGGAGATTGTGATCTCTCTAGATAAATTATAGGGGAATTTACAAAAATGTCTAATTCCATATTTATCAATTAAAAAATGTCTAATTTTGATAGCTCTTACAAAAATGGTCAAATTTAGTACCGAATTGTCTATTATACTCTTAATGAAAAATGATTTTTTTTCAATTTGTTACCAATTTCGAAAAGAAGACGTAGCTTCAATGATAAGCTACATTAAAATGACGTTCTCGACATTTTAAAAGTTATTATCGATATTTGAACCTTGTTTATCTTGATATTTCATTTATCTAGAACGAAATTTCATTCTGAACATGAGAATTCTCTAAATTTTATAAAGTTCTTGACATTTGAACTAGATTTCATTCCAAATGTTCAATATGAAGAAAAGTACTTGATGACCAACTTACTATAGATTCATATTTAACCTGCCGTATTTAAACATAGACATTGAAGAGTTTTTATGATTAATCATGGTCTAATTTCGTGTATTTATTGGTTGTCAGGTAAAATTTGATTGAACATGAAATTGGAAAAAAAGAACGATATGGTAAACAGTGATGATTTCCTATGTGCTTGCACGCGCAAGGGGGAAAATTGGGCTTACGGCATACCATATTGACACGCTCAAAAATTAAATATTTTAACCAAACATTGAATTGAAATCAAAACAACTATTCCTTCTTATTTATCCCAATAGTATTGGATGCCCTCTTTACTCGCTTAACCATTCTTCCTTTGGCAACTGATATACATAACAAACCTTCGTTGCATGCATCTCTTCTTCTTCTTCCTTCGTTTTCTCTCTCTCTAAATACATATTATAGAGAGAGAAACGCATAGCATAGTTCAAGAAAATGTTGCCATTCCAAACACTTGAAGAAGCAGGGATTTTTCTTGGGAGAAACCTAACAATTGCAGAGACATTATGGTTCAAATACTCGGCCCGGATGCCCGATTACATCCTGTATTGTCATAATACACTGTTCTTGTTCATCTTCTACACATTAGTCCCATTGCCATTTGTTTTCATTGAATTAATGCATTCCAAGAAGATTGATCAATTCAAGATTCAGCCCAGAATCAAGAATTCTTTATCCGACATGTTTGATTGTTACAGAAAAGTTTTGCTTACATTTGTCGTTGCTGTTGGCCCTTTGCAAATCTTTTCTTACCCTGTTATTGAGGTATGCGTTTCTTGTTTTTCATTAGTTAATTGATCATTTGAAGATATCTCTTTGATCTATATGAACATAATTATCACTGCAGATGATTGGAATAAGGACAAGCTTGCCATTGCCATCTGGTTGGGAGATGTTTTGGCAGATATTGGTGTACTTTCTTGTCGAGGACTATGCGAATTACTGGCTACACAGGTTGCTTCACAATGGATGGGGCTACAACAAAATCCACAGAGTTCACCATGAATACAATGCTCCAATTGGATTTGCAGCTCCCTATGCACATTGGGCAGAGATCATAATCCTTGGTTTCGCCTCATTTTTAGGTCCACTCATTGCTCCAGGACACATGATCACCTTCTGGCTATGGTTTATTTTGAGGCAAATGGAAGCCATTGAAACTCACAGTGGGTATGTATACAACTTTTTCTATAGATTATTTTCGCTCGTCTAAAAGTTTGAACTGCTAAAGAGGGACGCATTTGCCCAAATTTAGTGTTGATTCAAGTGCAAAATGTGTGTTTTGATGCAGGTATGATTTCCCTTGGAGTCCTTCGAAATTTATTCCATTTTATGGAGGAGCAATTTACCATGATTACCACCACTATGTCGGAGGAAATTGCCAGAGCAACTTCGCTTCAGTATTCACTTACTGTGATTACATTTATGGAACCGACAAGGTCTGTCCCTCCATATTTTGAACACAACGTACATGGTTTTTATATGACAATTGACAAATAACATCGAATTGGATTATTAAATCTATATTTCAGTGATTTCATGTCCCGATTTCTCTTGACTCTGTTTTGTAGGGATACCGATACCAGAAGGAAGTTTTCGAAAAGGTACTAGCAAAACATTCCCTACTCATCGTTGTGATTAGCTATGAATTATGTCTAATGACGGGATTGTTTTTTCATTTTTAACTTACAAAAGGATATTTCGCATTTCTTGTCTAATCGTGCTTGTTCAATTCACCAGACACGGAAGCAAATGTGAGGAAAACATGAAGACAGCCATGCTGTGAACACCGAGTCTTGAAGCTTAATGTATGTGCAAGTTGCTATGAAAGATGTTGTTATGCCCGTACATGTCAAATTTTTTTGATCTTCATCAGATTATGCGCAGTACATGTTTCCATGAGTTGGCCACTAATAATCTTTCATTTTTGAGAACGAAAAAATTTAAATACGCCCACCGTGGGGCTCGAACCCACGACCACAAGGTTAAGAGCCTTGCGCTCTACCGACTGAGCTAGACGGGCTTTTTCTGTTTGTCCACTAGTATGACTTATTAAATAATGAAAAAAAGGTTTTAATAAACAGAACGTTTTTGTTTGAAAAGTGGAACAGTTATCAATGTAACCGGTCTAACTCGGTGAGTCAGTAGACCGCAAGGCTCGTAACCTTGTGATCGTTTACGGAATTCAATTTTAATGCCTTTACCAGTCCAAACCTTTTCATTAGGAAAACGAATAATTACAGCAAAAATTTCAAACCTTTTAAATATTAACAGACTTTTCTTAAATCTATGATTTGTTGTAGCCGTCACTCACCCCTAACTTTTCCAACCATTGCATGTGAGGCACTTTTGGATGGTTTCCATCCATTTTTCCGACAGTTGACCATCAAAATTAAGTTTGACCATCCCAAAAATCAAAATCACACAACTGTTTTCAACCATTGGTGCCGATGTTGGCATAACTGTCGACGACACCCTTTCTGGCTACAGCCATGTTGACGGCAGCCAAACGAACTCCTCTCAAGCCTATTCCATTCAATATGATGCATCCAACATGCTTCAAGCCATGAATTCAACTGGGAAAACGGCAATTCTGGTCCTAACTACTATGGAAAACACACCAATTGAATTCTCAATCCGTGATCCACACATGGATTCAAATAATTCCACTAAGCCCGAACCCCAACATTTAAAGTTTGATAATATACAAACTTCTCAGTTCTCACCAAATTTTCACTAAAAAAATTTAGCTAGAGATTTAAGGTAGTGGGAGAGAGAGGGGAAACGATTGAACGTGATGAATTTAATGAGGGGAGACGATGGAAGGTTCGTGCTACCAAATTGTGCCTCTAAATTTGGGCGAGTCTTTGGAATCTGAATTCAGCCATGTATTAGTTTGGTATGGGACAAGTGATGATAGTTTCGACAAGTGAAGCTCTAGGTTGAAAAGTCGATTTCTGTTGGCATCGGTGATGAGAGACAGATGGGGTGTTTTGGAGTTGGGTGTGGGGTTCGTGGGGGTGGGGATGGGGGTGGAGGGTGGGTAAAGAAGAGATCTTTTTCTTTTTTAAATTTGTTTTATTTAATTATCCTTTTATTTAATTATTTTAATAAATCTTTTCTTTTCTTTTCCTTTTTAAATTTTTTTATTTCATTATCCTTTTATTTAATTATTTTAATATATATTTATCATTTTGTCCCTTCTAATTGATTAAAATAAGGTCAAAACTTAATTTTGGTGGTTAACTAACGGAAAAATGAATGAAAATCATCCAAAAGGGCTTCACATGATGCAATGGTTGAAAATGTTATGGGTGACTGCTGAAACAAATCAAAAGTTTAGGAAAAGTCTGCTAATATTTCAAATGTTTACAGTTTTTGCTGTAATTATCCCTTAGGAAAATTTGACTAAGAGCATGTTTGGCTAAATCTTAATAGTTATCTTATAATTACACATAGTTATAAGTATATATATTAGTAAGTAATAAAATTAATAATTGCTCTCTACGTAATTTAAAATCATTTAGAGTGTAGACACAGAGGAGGATGCCAACTGTTTTTCTTTTTCTGTTTTAAATTTTTTATTCAATTATCCTTTTATTTAATTATTTTAATATATATTTACCATTTTGCCCCTTCTAATTGATTAAAATAAGGTCAAAACTTAATTTTGGTGGTTAACTGACGGAAAAATGAATGAAAATCATCCAAAAGGGCTTCACATATGCAATGGTTGGAAATGTTAGGGGTGACGGCTGAAACAAATCAAAAGTTTAGAAAAAGTCTGCTAATATTTTAAAGGTTTGGAGCTTTTGCTGTAATTATCCTTTAGGAAAATTTGACTAAGAGCATGTTTGGCTAAATCTTAATAGTTATCTTATAATTACACATAGTTATAAGTATATATATTAGTAAGTAATAAAATTAATAATTGTTCTCTTCGTAATTTAAAATCATTTAGAGTGTGTTTGATTGGTATGAAAAATATAAAAGAAAATATTTTCTTTATTTTNGATTGATATAGAAAAATATATCCTAAAAAAGAAATATTTTCCTTATTTTGAGGAAAACAAAAACATACTGTCCCCAAGAAAATGTTTTCCTTAAAAACAGAAAAAATTAGGGATATTTTTAAAAGTCGGAAAATATTTTTCATGGAAAAAAATAGCAATCAAACATTTTAAAGTTAAAAAATGACATTTTTCATGAAAAATAAATGTAATTAAACACGCCCTTAGTTATTTTCGAAAGAAATAACTTTTTTTACTTTTAAGTTAAAATAAGTTATCTTGACTATAAGGTAACAATTATTTTTTTCAAAAAAGATTAAATAAGTTATCTTGATTATAATATAAGATTTATTTTTTACAAAAATAATATTCGTTTTATTTAAATGTAAAAAAAAAAAAAGAGTTATCCAGATATGTTTGGAAATTACAAAAAAAACCAGAAATTCTCTTATTTATATAGGCCTATTGTGCTTAATATATATCAATTAATAATTTGAAATTTAGGTCTTCAATAGTAGATAAAATATATTGATTAACAATGTACCCTACCGATATCTCACCGAGGAACTAATTTCAATAGTAGATTTAATGACCCATCGATAATATATAGGATTCATTTACATCACAAAAATCTAAGAAATAACAATATATTAGACTTCATATTATTCTCGCAAAAGTCCCATTCCAAATGAAAATAATACCTAAAAACTTAATAAAATTCATCAAACTTAAGATATTGCTATTGAATTTGATTTTTAAATTTGTATAGATATTATAAAAATATATTAAATTGTTCCAATAGAATTTGAAAATTATATTTATTAGATTTGATGTAATGGATATTGAAAAATTATTATGGTCCTGTTTGTTTTGGATTAAAATCATATTTTAATCTAAGTTAAAGTTAAACAATCAATATTAACCACATTTTTTATGGGTCATACAACTTTTCAACCACACATTTCAAAAACTTTTATTACAATCTACTAAAAATCTAATTTTAATCCACACCAAACATCCACTATATATGCATAGCTTCATGATTACATTATTGTGAGACGTTGGTCTTGTGGCAGTGCGAACATCCTTTAGGTTAAGGGGTTCAAGCACCCACTGTTGATAATTTTAAAGATTTTTTTAAAAATCGTCGATTTGATCCGAATTTCAAAACTATAATTTTAAACGACTCACTTGAGACATTCGTTTCTCCAAACTCTTGCCTAATCATTACACACTTGGAAATAATTTTTTGAAAATGAGATGTATTTTTTCATGTGGTGTTTGATTTAGGGTTTGTTGTGAATATTTTCTTAACTTAAATTCCACGGCCAGTATATATAGGACTTCAGACTGTCATTACACGCAGGGGCGAACGCAGAACTTAAAAGTTAGGGGGCACAATCGAACTTGCAAAGAAATTGGGAGAAATTTTACAATTGAAAATTTAATTCCAAAAAAATCATACCCTATGTAATTTTGCATCCGAAAATTTACATGAGATATGACTTTTTCAAATGTAAAATTTCGAAATTTTTTTGTCATATTCCATATAAAATTTTCTAATAAAATAATGAAAATTTCATTGAGAAATTTGTATAAATTTACATGGGATATAACTTTTTCAAATGTAAAATTTTGAAAAATAATTTAATTCATATTTCATATAAAATTTTCTAATAAAATGATGAAAATTATATTGAGAAATTTGTATTGCAAAAATAACAAATGTTAATGAAATAATTGATTTTTTTTAAAGAAAATACGAGTTAAACATCTTTTTTTAAAACTCACATATTTATATACATTGCACCCTGTACATCCCAAATATATATACACAGAGATACAAATATGAACATAAAAGAAATACATGAATCAGGGGAAAACACAAATTGCGTTAATTAATTAAGACAAACCTGCTGGTGTTTGGGCAAAATTATATATTTCGATGAGTCTGCAAAGATGGTATGTAAAAAAAAAAATCATATATTATAAAAGAAAAATAATGAAAAAACCAACACAAGCTGATTCATCATTAAATTAGAGAAAAAAAAAATGACAACAAACTAAACTTTGTTTTCAATAATACTAGGGTCGTCTACATTAATTTTTTTTTTTTTTACTATATTTGATTAATTATTAGATCATGTCACAAGTTTGGTTTAGTTTTACTCAGACTGTCAACCTACTTGACCTTCTTTGTTTATATGATCTCGAGACGGACCGTGATAATAGTAGGTGGACTTAAAAATTATCTTAAAAGTTGGAATTTGGGTGTGACCTGAATTTCTTTGTTGAAGTTGTTAAAGTAATTAAAGAATTCTAATTGAAATGCACGTCATGAAGAATTCAAATTTGAAATACTACTGGAGTCATATGTTAAGTTGAAGTTTTATTTTGGAAATCCATTAAAAATTGGAAATTAGTATTGGGCTTGAAGATGTTGAAATTATGGACCGAAAAGAAAAGTCGCATTTTCGCTAGGCTACCGCTAGCTGGAGCTCGAGCAATACCTGCAAGTTTTCTCTCGAGACTTGGTTGCTCGCCTGTCGCCAACCTGGTGCTCGAGCGACGGATATGTCGCTAGCCGGTCGCTCGAGCGACGATGTTATCCAGCCCAAACCTGTTTCGCGTTTTAATACGTTTTTTGACATTCTACTTCAATTACAACTCATCTATTAGGGTTTAAACGTCATCCTACATGTTCTCTATAAATACTAGGCTCTTTTATACAATTTAAAGGTGTGAGATATATGATTACTAAAATTATAGGATCCATTGTAATTTTCTCTCTTCTCCATTATTATTGAGTCAATAAAATCTCCTAATTTCCCTGCCATATTCTTGTCTTCTTTATTTTTTTGATTGATCAAATACTTCATTATTGTGCCATATACTTCAACATCTCAATCTGGTGGTTGATTTTACAACAAGTGGTATCAGAGATATTCTAATATCTTGTTTGTTCTACAACATTAAAAACATGTCGAAAAATTATTCAGATTTCTCAACCAACAGGACTTTCATTTTATTATTACTTACAACTGATCCATATTTAATGTCAACTTTGGAAGCACAAAATATAATGAAATAGTCATAAACCATGGCATCCTTTGTGCTAGAATCTGGAAAAGGAACTTGACAGCATAACTGAAGATAATAAATCATGGACTAGATGAAACCCTTCTGCTTGCAAGATTCAATTGCTCCATCAAATATTTCCTCAAGACCATGATGATAATTAAATCCAGCTTCCAGGAGTTTCTTTGACGAAAGGCCAGAGAATTTTACCCGCACAATGTCCTTCAAGGAACTGCAAGAAAATTGAAGGACCCAGATTTATCATAAAAGTACTTTGAAATATGTAGAAATTCTTAACGAACTTACTCTGCATTTGGTATTTGATATTCAGGGTGTCTAGCAGAGAAAAATTCAGACAACTTGTCTATTGTAACTTCAACAGCCGAGCAAATGTATCTCCCTTTTGCATTAGGATACTCAAATAGGAAAATGTGTGCTCTAGCCACATCATCTACATGAACAAAACTGGTATCTACAAGGTACTTGTAATGATCCTCATTACCTGCACAGATTAGGAAATTCATAAGCAAAAAATCAAATCTAAGTTTAAATTTGACAATGTGCTCTTGAGAGGAGTCGTGAGAGTTGGGGGGACATTACTTCGGAAAATGGTATTATGGTAGTACCCGAAAAAAGGAAATCACATACTCATAGAGCTTTCCAACAATAATGCTGACATTTTTGTGGGTGCTTCTTGCCATTTGTTATTGGTACTATCTTTTTCATTTTTGGTTCTGGGTATATTCTCGTTCCAAAAGTAGCATCTCCATGAGCACGGGCGGAGTCAGGAGAGTAGAGTTGGGGTGGGGGGGGGGGGGGGGGGGAATT